CAAAATATCAAAATATCAATTTTCAGGTTTTCATGTTTTGGACTATTTTGTAAAATGATGATATTTTTCATTTGGGAAGTCCTTTTTCGAAACCAGTCGTTGTAGCATGTTTATTATCATGTCTACAATCATTCCCCAAAGTTTTACATTTTTTGGAATTTATTTGATATTTTTAAACAGCATTTCAAAATCAGATAAACAGTTTTCATATCAGTTTTCGGTCGACCGCACCGGTCGACCGAACCTGAGGTCAAAAGTTCATTGTCTTCAACTCTCAAGCCAACTAAGAAATGTTTTAAAAGAAAAGAAAAGTTTAAGCAAGGGTTTAGGGTTTTACTGTTTGTTTTGAGTTTGGGTTTCTGTTTACAAAGGAGGAAGTTTTCACTGCAGATTGAGGGATTCATTCTCAATCCCCTTCATCCTCTTCTTGTGTTCTTAGAGAAGTTTTCTAACTCTTTTCTCTAGCAATTTCATTATTGATTTTCATATTCTTATTATTGCTAGTTTGTAGCTATTTATTATTTTGTTTATAATTTCTATATGCTAGATTTTAATTGAGTTTAGTTTTGATTTTGATTTCACTCATTGTTTACACACACCCACTTGAGCTTATTGTATTTGCATACATAGTATATTAGGGTTGTGAGAGTTGTAACATTGAGTGTGGGCTTTTATTGTGTTCTCATCCATATTAGAGAACAATTTATATTTGTTACATTGTGAGATTGTTAGGTTTTCGGTGAGCTAGAAACCGAGTGTGGTGTGAAAGTTTTCGGTGAACTAGAAAACCGATTGTGAGGAGTGACGTTGATCGGTGAGCGTTGAAAACCGATACTGTGAGGTGTAAACGTTGTTCGGGTGAACGTAGAAAACCCGGTTGTGATAGTGGATTTCTCCCCGGGAGTGGGGAGCTGCATTGGCGTTCTTATTCTTGTTTTCATATCTTATATCGCCTTTGTGTATTGCTCATCATATTACCCTATCACTTGTGTAGATTGTTTATTTTACCCTTGTGTTGTTTATATATCCTTGCATATATACATATATCTCTATCATATAGGATATATCTCATTGTTTATCTTTCTTATCCTAGCTAATATATATTGTTGTATTTCAAACTTGCTAGGATAACTTATTAATATATTTTAATTGGCATTTAAATCAGATTAGATTAGCATAAGACCCTAATCACCCCCCTATAGGGTCTAACAATTGGTATCAGAGCTTGGTGCTCTTTGATTTAAGGTCTAACCGCCTTTAGTTAAAGATCCAAGTTATCTTTTTGTGCTAATCTTGTTTTGATTGCATTTTTGTCTTGCTTGCACATATCCCCCCCCCCCCCCTCTACGGTCTAACACATGCATCTTTACAATCTCCCAATATATCAACAGGACTCTGGCTCTCCACAAAGCAGCGCTATCTCTACAGATAGGTGCAACAATATGCATATCGAGATCTGGCGGAGTATAAGGTGTCCACTTGCACTAAAATTTAAAAAAATACTTTTATCAGCATCTACAAAAAAAATAAAATATAAATAATAAATTAAGTTTTATATTTACCTATTGGTGTTGGAGGCCATCAAGCTCATTTTGGGAAAAATCTATATGTTTAGTTGTTGTTTTGTATTTAGAATGCCTCACGTTATACCTATTTAGTACAAAGAATATATGAAAACAAATTTAATATGAATAAAATTTATGCATAATTATACCTGCATCCCAAAGGAAACTGACCTTGTAGATCGCGGTGCACATGCGAAGTAAGTCGTCCAATATGAATGTGTTCTCATGACCAAACATGAATTAATGTCATACATCCATTGAATTCTTTATTCTGCATCAATGAGACCATGCCTAGTTCTCTATAAAGGTATGTCAAGACCGCACTACCCCATAATAGAGTGCTGCATACATAAAAATCCTCGAGTAGTGGCAGCCATCATGCATGTACAAAATTCTTGCTCGCATCAGGAAATAACGTACACCCAATCATGTCCAATATATAAGAACGAGCATAATACTGAATCGTCTTATCCGTAGTATCAACTGGTATATCTCCCATAAATATCGATCGAAGCCACGATAGCTTCATCGCACCACTCCTCAAATTGGGAAGCGGGAACTTATCTAAGAAGCCTCTCACATACTCAGCCCAATTATGGTCATCAGTACCCGTAACAACCGGGCCATCGATGCAGAGCCCAAGTATGATGACTATATCCTAAAGTGTAATAGTACACTCCCATATATGCATATTAAAGGTGTTGGTCTCTGATCTCCACCTCTCAGAAGCGTTATTTGTCATCATACAAAACTGTTTCCCGCCATCTTCACATAAGGCCCACCTATCAACATTGTTCGGATCCAAACTAGTCTCGATCCAATCATGTGCAGCTTGTGAAATAGACTTAATCCTCTCCCGTAGTTGCTCATAAATAATTTTTTCTGTTGTATATCCAGCTTGCCAAAGAAGATCTTGAAGATGCATTTGTCTATGTGTCCTCTTGAAGTTGTCCCTAATATGTCGCAAGCAATAGCAATGTTGATGTGGCGACAGAAAATGTCGTTGGGGTGCTATTAGAATTCCTTTCATCCTATCAGATATAAATATAATCGATCACGTTCGCACACTAGGGATATGATATCTAATGCGTGCAAAAAACCATGCCTAATTTTTCGTGTTTTCAACATCAACCACTATAAAGGCCAAAGGAAATAAACTGCCATATGCATCTACTCCAGTTATAATAAGCAAAACGCCTTTATATTTAGTGTATAAGTGGGTGTTGTCAATGCTAAGAAGAGAACGATAATATCTGAATCCCTCAATGCAAGGGCCAAATTCCCAAAATACCCCTGTGAATCATCTATCTCCGCCACCAACAGGATCTGATGATACTTCATACATTCTCCCCGAATTTTCTTTTTTGGGTGCTTTAAGATAATGTAGTAAGATCTCATAAGATTTGTCGCAATCTCTGAATATTTTTATCATCACCTTCCTCCGAGCATTCCAACACTTGTTGTATGATACATCCAAGTTGGTCGCTTTATTAACTAAAATACGAATATTCTTTAGCCTTAGATCAAGATCCTCCCTTAGTTTAGGCATAATGAATCAATATATGAAAGAGGGGGACACGTGTTTATAATTCATCTCTAATCGAAGATTGCTACATGTGTGAAGTCCGTTGTAGTGTGTTATTTAAAATTGTTCGCCTACTCTTACCCCTAAGTGTGAATTAAGCTTCTGAGGAAATTTTGCATTGCTATTGTGGTACCCACCACTATCTTCTTCCTCATCGTCTTTGTGGTAAAAACAAACTACATTATAGCTTGTTGCATTGCTTTTTGTCTATCTAAACTTGATATTTTTTTGGATGGCCCGCAAACGAAGTGTATGAATCAATTTCTCATTGCTTTCAAATAGACCGTCCTTTTTGAGTGAGAAGTCCTCACTTTGTGTATCATTATCTAAAATTAGTGTCGATAGCAATGCAAAAAACTATGCCCAATCATCCTCGAATTCAACACTTACATTATCATCTTCTATCGTCGCTGCTATGGAAGGTATTATATCTTGATGGGGAGCGTTATCATCGAAGGCATTTGAAGTGCCCACAAGTGAAGGACCGCTCAAGTATTGTGACTGTGTCCATCCCATATCTTATTATGGAGATAAAAAGGCAACAGAGTCAATTTCAAGGTGCTCCACACATGCGAGAGTATACTCCGTCGTGATTCACCGATTTGCCCAAAAATCTGTGATGCTTTTCAATAAATAATTCCACCTAATACTTCTCGTCATGCAATATTCCAATAAGACCCATATCTAGTCACTTGAGGTTTGTATGCCGCTTGTTCTGTTCCCTGTAATAGGAGATAATTGCAAATCACGTTGATGTGACACTCACGTGGATTGGTTAATGTAAGTTTGTGTAAGTCATTACTCAATTCATCGAAAGTACATGATTTTGATATAAACAACGGCTTCGTCACACCTCCTTCATATACTGACATATTATTCTCGAGATAGTTAATCTTCCCATCATATGAACAAAGAATTACGATTCGATCGTTCATCGTTACATCTGAAGAGTAAAAAAATTCCAATATCAATATTACACGAAAAACACAAAAAATATTATTTACCATTAAATCCTCTAATATCGATTTTAGACATTCATAATTTTAACCAAATGTCAAACCTTTATAATACACTAACTTTTATAATTTTTGATTGATAATTTCCCCTCTAACTTCATACACAAATTTCTCTTTTTTTTCTTCACAAAATTCATAAATATTTCAAAAATTATTTCAAACTCTAAATTTAAACAAGTTATTAGCATGAAATAGTGAGAATATGTAAAAAATTTAGGAGAAAATAACAAATTTTAAAGATTTTACCTAAAATGTGTCGATGCTCTAATTTCTGGTGAACTTTGATGGTGGCGACGGTGGCAGCAGCGATGGCGTCAGCGGGGGCAGTGGTATATAGGTCTAGGGTTTGGTTTGGTGGTGAAGGAGCAAAGGGGGGGGGGTCGGGTAAAAAACGCAATCTGTTATCGTGTGTGCCTTATGTAGGCCCCGCCACAACTCGATGGGATTTGAAATCCTGTGAAGTTTAAGCTTCACGGGATTTCAAATCCCATGAAGATTTGCTCCCTTAACAGACTTGGTAATGACGGCTTAAACTTCACGAGATTTCAAATCCCGTGAAGTTTTTGAACTTTTTTCGCTATTTTCGACCCAGTTTCAGCCAACTTGCTGAAACTTGACCGAAACTGGGTCGAAAATGACGAATATTTTCAAAAGAGAATGATCTTTAAAAATATGTTTCTAGAGAGGTATATTTCAAAAATTTGTCCTATTTATTATACATGGGTTTTTCTCCTTTTTATAATTACTTAAAACTAAAAACAAATATGGGTACTCTGGACTTTTCGCATTCCCACCTTCTCTCTTTTTCTCCGCTTATAAAGTTCTGTTTTTCTCAGTCTACAGAGAGAGAAAATAATAAATAACTGAAAACCGTGAGAAAGAAAAATGGTGGGAGATTTCATGGTTTGTGTTGATAGGATCGTAGCATCTACTGCTTGCTTTGATTCTGGGAATGGGGCTAGAGATGGGTTATTGAGAAGAGAGGAGGAGGAAGAAGGGAGCTCTGAAATTAAGAGGAGAGAGAGTGATGGAGGTTTTAATAATGGCGAGAGCTTGAAGAAGATGAAGAAGAAAGAAGAGGGTTTGATTGAGTGCAGGATTTGTCAAGAGGAAGGAGAGGAGGCTGAGATGGAAGCGCCCTTCGGCGCTCGCTGAATGGAACTTCAAGGT